GCGGGATGTGGCCGTGGCCGTGGGCGCGTGCGCTGGGGACACTGGGGGCGGAGGCCTGCCCCGCCCCGTCTCCACAGCAACGTGTGCTCAACACCAGCCCAACCAGGCTGGGGTGGAATCCACCGTTTATTTTCTTCCAGACTCCCAATTACCCGGCTGTGGGGGAGGGGGGCGGTTTGGGCTACACCCCAGGGTATCTGAGTTGGTGGAGGCATCCAGCAAAGCTGGGCAGCAGTTGTGGAGGAAATCAGCTCGTTGGCCCCTAATAGAGTGCCAGGCTGGGGTCATAGCTAGAGTGGCACCGCTGGGTCAGTCTCTAGCATTTGCACCACCCTTGCTCCTTCTGCTTTCTCGCAGAGGCTTTATGAGGGGACTAGGAACCAAACAGAGCAGGACCACTTGCTGCCGCTCACAGCTGAGAAAGCTGAATCTGAATCTGACGGATCCAACCTGTAGATGGCACAAATATCTGCTTCCTGCCTCCACTCAACCCTACATCAGCTCTTCTTCCATAATCACATAAGTAATATCTATCCAACATTTATGGAATACATTTCCTGATAGTTCCAGGGCTGAGGATACTGAGTGGACAAAACCAAAAGCCTGTGGCCCTCCTGGAGCTCATATTGCTAGGGGCCCAGTCCTCAAGAAGCCTAGCAAAGAAGGTGGGAGAGATGACTATTATTCTCATAAATTTAAGACAGGCTGGCTGTTTAAGAGGGGGATCATTCAGTAGTACGTCAGGAGGTGGATGCAGAAAAAGTCAGCAACAACGGGGCAATGTTATCTGTGGATCCCATTAGTGCATGGAACTTCATACACAGGGCAGTCTGTGGATGCTCCAAGCAGACTGGCAGAATGGGTAGCTGGCCTTTCCCAGGTATTCTGGGCAGGCCAGGTCATCACTGTTGTTTTACCTGTGACCATCAACCACATGATTGTTAAGATGCCCCGGCAAGGTGGCCAATACACTTAGAAGCATTTCCTGTGACACAAGGAGAGGGCACGGCAGTAGCAGCTCAAAGACACCCTCTGCCTGCAGGGTTTGCACTGTCGATCCTGCTTTTCAGAAGTTGATGATCTTCTTCGAGAAAACCACTGTCTGGAGCTGACCTTTTCTCATCTTGTCCGTTCACTTCCTTAGCTCGGCTGAAGAATTCCAGAGCCCCACACCAGAGTTCAGGATGTGCCTCAGGAGCTTCAGCATTCTGTTATGGGAGGACAGTCTGTCTGCCACTGGGGCTGTGGGCCATTAGCCTGCCAAGCTTCTTGTAACAGAGCAGACGCCCTCCTTGGCAGAAAACCCATGCAACACTCCGACCAACCACGAGGAGGCAGCAGCGTGCCTCACAAAGCACTTTTTTTTCCAAGTCTTACAATAGGCCTGAGACCTGCTCACCCAGGCTTCCATCCCAGGCTCTCTTCACTCCCGTTCCTATATGGCTACAGCATATATTCATTCCCCTATTATGGGCCCAGATTTGGCCTTAGTCTCCTCTTACCCTCCTCTGCCAGAAATCTTTACACAGGCTCAATTCTCTTTGTACATTTCTAGAGAATGTTTTCCCATGAATACTCTCCTTGAAGAAATTAAACTTGGAGAGCTAGAATATTATCTTCTCCCACCCCTAATCCTCTAATTCAGATGACAATCAGACTGCACATGCAGCCCAAAATGCTTTCCAACACTGCCATCAACAACCACTTAAGACATACCATCTCCCACCCGCTGAAGGCATTGATTCTGGCCTAATTCCCAGCCACTCACAACCTAGACAGGGGTGCCCCTGCAAGACCTGCCATGGCTGGGGATCAACTAGCCTCAAACACACTAGTCAGCTTCACTGTTTAAAGAGCCTGGAAGTGCAGCAGTAGCAGAGCACCCAAACCTCTTTATGTAAGCAAAGGTAGAAAAGGCCAAGTGAACTCTGCCAACAAAGAGCCTGCCAGCAGTCTGCTCTCTGTTCCCGCTATCTCACCCCCAAGTGCTGCCCCAGTGCCCATTATGCTGAGTAATATTCCATCACTCAGTTAAACAGTTGTCCAGTAATTCCTTAATCAACCAACACTGCCTTGAATTTAAATTTTATTTTACAAAAAGAGAAATAAAGAAAACTGATAGGCAGTTATACTTACAATTGTTCTGTTTGCTTTTTTAAAAAAGTGACATGAAACACAAGTAAAAATAAATACGTCATAGAAACAGCCAGTTGCCCAGTCTCTGGGGCAGAAGCGCCTGCCCTGCTGAGAGGAGGGAAGCCCATGATCACACCAGCAGCTGGATCACCCAGCCACAGATGCTCCTCTAAAACAGGCACAGGTCCCAGGCCTCAGGGGCATCCTGAGGAAATTAGACAGAAAACCAAAGCCAGGTACCAGGGCCTTAGGGGCCACCTCATCTCCCTCCATCCCCCTGGCAGTAGTGTGGCCTTAGTGGTTATCCATCATGAGACCCCCTCACCCCACCTGGACCCTCACCCCATGAACCCTCTGAAGAGGGTACAAGGAAAAAAAATCTGTTGGGAAGGCTTGGGGGATTTTTCTGGTGAGGCCCCAGCCCACCCTGAGTAACAACCAGATAAGTCATTTTACATCCAGGTGCATATGAACACACACACACACACACACACACACACACAGCTGGGCTACGCTCTCTTTCAGGGAGGGTCCTGGGTTAGGTCACAGAATGAAGTCCTCTCATCTGAATAACATCCCCACAGTGGTAGCAGACGACCCAAACCTCCCTCAGCCCTCTCTTGCAGACTGCAGCCTACATGACTACCTCTTCCCACCACACTAAATAACTACACCAAATATACCTGCAAAAGGGGAAAGGAACAGACTTGGGTCCCTGAAGAGCAAAAGTAGAACTGCCTGCTGAAATTCATCGTTGTAAGACTCAGGTGATCCTAAAAGGACTAGCTAGTGGCACAGAGCAAGGGGGTCACAGTGGAATACACAGGGTGACGAGAAGAGTTGGTAGGAGGGGAACTGGGTCAAAAGGTGAGCAATGGAGAGTGCAGCATTCTCAGATAGGCCTTGATGTGCTGATTTCCAGGGCACAGTAAGCAGAGGGCAGAAACTCCTGGGGTTAGGGAGGGGGGCACAACCTCTCAGGAGTTTTGGAGGGGAAAAAGCCACCTAGCTGAGTGAAGACCATGACTCAGAAGGAAGAGTGTGGTCATCTGAGAAATCAAAGGGACATGAGAAGCAGGAGATCATATCGTAGAAGCACTAAAATAAGGAATGTAAAGCCCCCAGAGGACCTTCCTCATGGGATGAAGACTCAGTTTCAGGGCAATGGACCTCAACCTTAAACATGTCACAGAGGGTCTTGCTCTGTTGATAGCTGGCTAATGACAGTCACCCAGATGGCTGAAATTTTGTTGTGTTTCAACTCATCAGCAAAACATATTGTAGTTCTTTGCTTCATGCTCCTGGAATGGGTCATTTTCATAGTTGTGAAACATAAATATAATTCATATATTAATTTCTAGGGAAGAAAGTTCCAAGGATCAGAAAATTTATCCGAGTCAGGAGATGAGATAAATACTTACTCAGCACAACTCAAAGGGATGAGGGCTTCACTAATTTCCATACTTCAGAAAAAGATCTGACCCAATAGTTCACTTACTTCCTTTCTTAAATAGCTACTTTGTCCTTGTTAGCAGTCTTTATCCATGCAGACATGAAGAAAAGGAATCAACATCACTGTACATGGTAATCTTAATTCATTTAGTACTATGTTCCCCAGGAAAATAACTTAGGCTACACCAAATGTATGGAACTTGAGTCCCCCTTGACAACACTCCATGGCAGACAACAGTGAGAGAAAATGCCTAGGTCTGATCTTCTGCCTTCCCCAGGTCATCAGCATTATCCTCATCTCTCAGGCCTGGATCCTAAGAAGCAGAACCACCACCACGTACCACGTGTTTCTGATCAAAGAAACTGAAACATTTCTGCTTCCCTCATGTTTTGTATACTTGCAGGTTTGCCCACAAGCACACATAAAGAGACAGCAGGAAAAGGACCTGGGATTTAGCTCAGTGGCACTAGGCCTGCCTCACAAGCACAAAGTCCTGAGTTCAAGCCCCAGTACCACAAAGACAGCAGGAAAATCAAGAGAATCAGTATATTTTCAGGTTCATTAACCCCACCCCCCAAAAAAGGAACTGATTGTACTTCAATTTCACTGAATCCCCTGCACAACAAGAAATACACATAATCAGAGAAAGCCTTCTCTAGCCAGGTCTGCCTCCCAGAATTATGGCCTCTGCTGAACTAAAGCAAGACTCAGGCCCTGGAACTATTGCAAGGTGGCACACAAGCGCTGCTCTCAGAATACCCATTTACTTTCTGGCTACTTCAAAAGCCTGTCCCTCTAGTAACCAGTTTCAGTTCCCTGCTGAAATGGTTTTAGATCCTCAGAGACTGCTGCACTGATTTCCTGTTACTGAACATAGAATTATCTCTATCCCCAGATATATCTCTTTCTCACTCACACACACATACAAACACAAACACACAAACACTCACAGGCACACACCCTCTGGGATCCCAGTGCTTCAAGGTCCAAGAGGCGTTAGTGTAACCCAAGTTCTGAGTGTGTTCTGCTAATTGTAGATCCAGACTAACTCCTACTGCACTAGCCTCAACCTGAGAACCCACTCTAATTGTTGATACCCTTCACCATCCACTACTGGGATGCACCTGACAGAGAAAGCACTAGTTGGAACTGCTATTTTTAAATTATAAAAATAATTTGCATAGCTATATTGTAGATCTAAGGCTTCTATAAGAAGAGTTAAGTGTCTGACAGAGTGCTTATGAAAACAAAGAAAGGAACGCTCCTTAAGTTCCACTTTTGGTGTTACTGGACAGCACACAAAATGGATGGGCATGCACGCACACGCGCACACACACACACACACACACACACACACACCCAGCCACCTCATTTTCTTTACTAGGAACAATACCCCAGAGTATGCTAAGGCCCCCCAATAATGGAGAAACAAACTGATCAGAAGAGGTACAGGAGGCTAAGCTGCCACCAGAGATAGGAAGAGGCAGATGCAGCATATGCCCAATCAGAGAGAAGCCACAGGTAGGTGGCAGAGCTCTTTCATTAAAAAGAATCGCCTGGCAAAATGTGTGTGGGGGGGTAAGGGGTGCATTACACACCAATAGAAGACAGTGTTTATGCTTAAGATGTCCCTTCCCTGGCACTGACAAGAGACCAGAATGACTAATGTGTTCCTGTTCTTATAAAAGCCAGACTTAAGGCTTCAACAGAGGAAAGGTTCCTCCTAGCCCCTTCAAAGATGGATGCAGCAGACACCAGCCCCACAATGCTCACCCAGCAAACTAGGGAAGTTTCCTTTTAGGAATCAATAGCCCACTCCCTCTAACCCAGCAAATGCCTACCCACAGCCCCACTATTCAGCATAGAGAGTTGGCCTCTACCATCATCTGAGGACACAGCTCCAAATCTGGGGGTAACTTACCTCCCAATAGCAAACAAACTCCATGATCCCAAGTTTCAATCTCTGTGGAATGAGTCTTACCACCACTAATTATCCAGTCTCAAGATTCCCTGATCTTCCCAAGACCTAAAGCATGGCTGTTTAACCCCTGGCCAATCCTAATCCTTTCCCGGTCAACTCACCACCCATCCAGGGTTTTTGTTGTTGTTGTTGTTGTTTTTTGTTTTTTTTCACCAGGAGCTATGGGGTCCAGAATATCTTAAAACTTCCCTATCTCCTACCTTCTGTACCCCAAACCTCCCCAATGCCGCTTAAAAAAAAAACCATACACACACACATGAAAAATCCAAATAATAAATAATTTCCCATAAGAAATAAATTAACATGGAGCTCTCTAATGTGGAAGGAGGAAAAGCAGAGGAAAGACCACCAGGATAGGCAGCTGGGGGCTTAGTTCCACTCTTGCGGAAGAATGTCTTTTCCAGCCACAACTCTATGACCTCTCACTCACACTGCAAGTGTTTTTCCTTCCCACCTGAGGAGGGGAGATCTGCTCAGAGATGGGACACCAGGGAAAGAGACAGATTGGTAATGCCCTTTTTCTCTCATAATTACCCCCAAATTCTAAAACAAATGTGGCTCTAAAAACCAGAGAGTTGAGTTAGCTGGGCTTTCTTTTCACCCACCTAGAAGGAAACTTGTAATTTCCATGGCTCTTCTGAACTCATCTTGATGTTCTACTAATAGTTGCCATGAACCACTGTACTCTGATTTCCACTTTAAAAAAGATAAATTCATTTTTTAATTTCCCCCTTATTCTTCCCTCCCTCCCTCCCCTCCCAACTTCACCCCACCCTGTTACATACATACAGAAACACACGCGCACACACCCACACATACCTGGTCTGCTTCCTTCCCAAACCCTAAAAAGACCCCACTTCACATAGGATCTCAGCCTGCTCCCCCTGCCCACCCTCCTTCTCTTACTCATCCTCCCTCCCTCCCCTCCCCTCCCCAGGCCAAGCTAGTCACCAGGTAAGGCAGCTCTACAGGGAGAGAATGTTCCCAAAGACAGAAATGGGACGTGAGCGTCTACACTCAGATGGGCAAATAAGTAAGCAGACAGCAAAAGCTAGGCAGGAAGGAAGAGAGGCAGGCTGCCCTACCCCTCCATCTCAGTTTTGGGTCCCTGATTTCCTGCTATTACTGTTCTGTTGGATTTATTTTTTTCTCTTTTGTTAACAGCAACAGAGCTCTGCCACTCTGGCCAACTATTCTTTGTCTTCCTTTTCTATCTTGCCAAGTACCCTATCCTCAGAATCCCAGATCACTGCCTTCCTGCCTGGTGGGCGACCTAATGGGGCCCCCAAATGAGGTGGGGAGGGGGTCCCCAGCTATTTCCCAGTGACCTCTATTACATCATCATCCTTATCTTCATCATCATTGGAGCTGAACCCCACCTCAGCAACCTCATGAGAGTCAAATGGAGGCACCTGGGACCGGAGGAGGCCACCAGCTGGGTAGCCTGAATGTGGGGACATGTAGCCAGGATAGACAGACATGCCCCGTGAAAGGTTGCTGGGCAAGACAGGGGAAGGAAAAGGCGCAAACATCCTTGGCTCGGACAGGAGTGGTTGTGAGAAAGGGAGTGAATAGCTGGGGAGTATCCCTGGCACAGAGGGGTTGAGCATGAAGGAAGGGTTGCTGGCAGTGACTGAGGTAGCCGTGGAAGAGGAACTGACAGGGCCTGCTGGCACCAGAGGGTCAGTAGTCACTGGAAACACCAGGCGGGCATCTGCCAGCAAGTTGGACAGCTGGTAGTAGGATGGGGTACTGCCCATAAACAGGGAGTTCTCCCCAGCCTGGGAGGTGAAGGGGGTGGTGAGGTTATGGTTTAAGGAGACAGGTGGCATGGCAAACCCGCCAGAGACTGGATACCCGTGTTCAAACGGCTGCATGGGGGCTGGCAAATGGCCTTTCCTGGACCGCCGGCGGGATGACTCCTGGGCGGCAGGTGGAGTGGCCAACTTTCGTTTGTGGCCCCTTAAGTCCAACACTGAGTGTCTGCCACCACAGGGCTGGCCAGTCACTAAGAGGGAACTATTAAAGCAGTGACCCCCAAGCCGTGGCTCAGTTCCAAGAGCTGTCCCAGGAACAGCACTGCTGTCCACAAGTTGGGCTGGGGGGCCAGGCAGGGCAGCATTGGTGCTTGGGGAGCTCTGATGGGATTCCCGAGCAGCAGCCACATCTGCATACTGCTGGAGCTCACTGATGATCTCCGGACTGTCAGGAGAGACAGGCCTGGCCAGGCCCTCGGAGTCTGGAGCTTTGGGTGATGAGGCACTGTGTCTGCCATTACTTGTGGACTCACGAGAAGGCCCCTGGGAACCTGTGGACAAAATACAGGCAAATAACTAGAAGGGCCAGGGAGAAAAGCAAGACAAAAGGGAAAATTCCATTAGTGCCCACATTCCTAATTGCATGATGCCTAAACACCACCACCCAGAAAACTTTTCCCAGTATCATTGAAAGAAACTCTTGAACCCAGAAACAAGTTGATCCATGAAAAGTAACTTTTCTGTATCCCAGCTTCCTCAATCTGTAATATTCTACCAAGGAGAATCCCATCAGATAATGGACATGAAATACTAGGAGATCATTCTTAAAACTAATCAGTTTTGCTGGGGGTAAGAGGGAGTGGAGGAATGAAGCAGTCCAATTCTGGTTTAGAAACAAAATAAAGCAGAACGTACTGATACGTGCACTGATACATGCCTATAATCCCAGCACTCTGGGAAGCTGAGGCAGGAGGATCACAAATTCAATCCCAGCCTGAGAAACAGCAATTTAATGAGACCCTGTCCCTATCTATCTATCCGAGATAGGGTCTCCCTAGTTCAGGCTGGTCTTGAATTCACTATGTAGCCCAGGCTGGCCTGGTACTTATGATGACCCTCCTGCCTCAGTTTCCCAAGTGCTGGGATTACAGGTGTGCACCACCACAACCAGCCCCCACCAAAAATGTTAAAGGGCTGGGGATGTAGCTCAGGGCAAAAGTTGTGTTTAATCTCCAACAATGAAAACAAATTAATTAATAAAATAAGTAATATAAAATCTACAACTATAAAAGACAAATTGACAACTAGGAAATCTGAATATGGCCTAGACAGTAGGCATTATTATGGAATTATTGTTAATTTTTCTTTTAACATGATGATGGTGCTAGGGTCAGGAGGAGAATGTCCTTAAGAAATATGTGTTAAAGTATGTAGGGATATAATGACGTGTTCAACTTACAAATGACTTGAATAAAAAGGCAGAAGAAACAAATAGAAAGGCAGAGAGAGACAGGAGATGATTTATGACAATTACTAGACCTGGGTGCAGGGGACATGGGTACCCACAGTACTGTTCTTCAAGCCTGTCTGTGTGAAAATTTCTGTAATATAAGGCTAGGAACAAGAACAGTATAACTCTCATACCTCAGTGCTGGGAGAATAAATGAAAATAATTTCCACTGAGGAGAACTTGGCAAGAGTTCTAAGACTGTTAATGTGCCACACATGTACCTTTGTCCTGGCAATGCCAGTTCTAGGAATGTGTCTTATAGACACATGTCAACAGTGGCAGAATATAACCTAGAGGCACATCAATGGGAAGCTCAGCAATGCACTGCATTATACCCCATCTTGTATAAACCTTCAATGAAGCATATCTAGAAGAAATGATAGGGAAGAAGCTATTAGTGGCATGTGAAAAAAGTATATTATGTTACCTGGGTATGGTGGCACATGTCTGTAATACCAGTATTCAGGAGGCTGAGGCAGGAAAATCACTGTGAGTTCAGGGCCAGCCTGAGCTACAAGGTGAGTCTGAGGCCGTCCTGACCTATACAGTGAGACCCTGTCTCAAAAAACAACAAAAAGAGCTAAAAACAGTATATTAGGGCCAGGGATTTAGCTCAGTGGTGCTGCCACCTGACTCACAAACTGAAGGTCCTGAGTTCAACTCCCGGTATGAAAACAAACCAACCAACCAACCCAGTATACTATGTTAACACTTATGTAAAAAATACATAGAAAAAACTACATATATTCATACACACATATTTTATACACTCTCACCTGTGTACACAGACACATAACCCTAGACCATATACAGCATACTGCTGAGAAACAACAGCAGCACCTTGTCATGCATAGTACCTATAATCTTAGCACTCAGAAGGCTAAAGGAGGACTGAGAGTTCAGTTTGCCCTTATATACCAAGTCCAAGGCCAGCCTGTACATAGACAGACTCTGTCTCAACTGAAAAAGAGCAGTAACTCCAGAAAGGTGCAATGGCTGGCTGGGAGTGTAGGGAGAGAAAAACTTACTTCACTTCATTTTGTGCCTTTTGAATTATCAACCATATACACATTATCTATTTTAAAATAAGTTAATAAAAAACAAAACAAAACCAATGTCGTATAGGTCAATGGAAACTAAAAGCCATCATACCTGAGGCAGCCATCCGACCATCTTCAGGGGCCTTTGGTTTGCCAGTTGCGCGGACAGCAAAGATCCGCCCATCACAAGTACGGATGTATGTCCCTAAGAAGAGAGGCAGAAAAAAAACTGTAAGATTGGCAATGCAGCCAATCCTGGAAAACTCCAGGGTTAGAAATAGCTATAAAATTAGTTCTTACACCCTCTCTCAAGAACCCTGAAATGAGGAATGGGATAACTAAGTTATGGATTGCCCATAATATTTATCTACTCCACAGATTACTAGCCTACCAAGTACCAGGCATAGCTCTAGCACCTTTGGAGGGGTAAACAGATGATTACATCAGATTTCAACGAAATGGAAGAAATAGAGTACTGTGAAAGAGTGCAAATTGATACCCTACACACTCCCAGGTACTCTGGCCCAGGTCCTCTTCAACATCTTCGAAGAAGGAGCCATATCACCTCAACATTCTCTCACCCTTAGGAGGAAGAATGTAAGACTTGCATCTGTTCCCATAAGGCACCAATGTACCTTCTCTTGAGTCCTGGCTATATCATTAGATGAATATTGTATGACGTCAGAGCTACCTCTAGGCCAGTAGTTGGAAGACTTTTTCTTAAAGGTTTAGAGAGTAAATATTTGCAACTTTATGAATAAACCTAAAAGCTCTGTTGCAACTACTCAATTCTTCCTCTGTAACACAAGAACTGTGAGGCATAGTTGTGCTCCAATAAACATTTATAGACATCAAAATGTACATTTCATATAATAGTCACACATGTCACAAAATATTACTCTTTTCATTTATTTTCAACTAAATGAGAACATAAAACCCATTTTTAGCTAGCAGGTACAGTAAAAGGCAGCAAATCAAACTTGGCCCATGGATCAGAGTTTTGCCAACCCCTGCTCTAAGCTAGGAAGAAACAGGTGAAGAAGCTGGGCTGAGTGCTAGGAATAGCCTAGCAAAAGGGCAGAGAGAGTTGTCTTCATGTGTCTGTGTAGTGAAATAACCAATGCTCAACTTGTAATGCCCAGCTGAACTGAATCAGCATGGAGAGCTTGGCAAGAGTCTGGGCATGGAGGATGCACCTGAGGATTGTTACCAATAGTCATAAAAAAAGAACCAGAGGGGAATATCTGGGCCTGGCAATTTTCTAGGAGAAGCTTGCTGCAGATGGTTTTCCTGATATGAAGTAGGATGTTTTCAATGGAGGAGGAGCTCAGGGCACTGCTGTCACTGGGAATGGCTGCTGTTTTCATCAGAGGATCTCTGCTCTTCATCATGAGCTTCCTGGCTCCAATGCAGATTCCCTCAGCTTGGTGGCACAAATCCTTCATCCCACCAGCGTACGTTTTCTGGCTCCCACCACTGGCTTTTGGGCCTTCCAGGTACAGTTCCTCAATATGGACAAGCATGAGACACAGCCATGGGCTCTAAGACTCGTGGAGGACAATGCTTTGGATTTTAAGCCTTTAGCTGGACTTATACAGGAAACTGCTGGGATCCAGGCCATTGGCTAGATTCTTTGGGCCTCTGGTGTGCAGTTAATCTCTCTTGCACTCCTTTGCATTTGACTTTTTTGGGTAATTATCATAAAATAATCCTATAAAATATGTACCCTATATTTAATGTATTCTCTTGCTAAAACCCTGACTACAACAGTCTGTGTACTCCATGGTATCTTTTCACCAAGCCTTCAGATACTCTAACCCAACTCCATATATACTGGCTTATGGACCATTCCACAGTGCTTCCTCTCCAGTTTTGGTCTCCCTGTATCCACTCATCCCCATCTCAAGATTCTCCATAAGGACAATGGCAAAATATAGAAACACAAGAACCCTAATTTCCTATTTTAAGCCACTGACTGATATCCTCTGGGTTCAAACCCAACTCTGCTATGTTCTTAGAAATGCCATTTTCTCATGCTTTACCCAATTGTGACACTGTTATAGGATGATTCCTATCCCTCTCTAGTTCAAGCCCTATGTTTTTATTCTGTCTCCAAGCCTAGCACTCTTAAACAAAGTTGGAGGATGGACCCTTGGTTAGGCTCTCACCTTTTGTCCCACGGATGATATGGATGCTCTCACCAGCATTAATTCTTGCCTGAACATCTGTGGAGCTGTTTAGTCCAGGAATAACAATATCTAGTAAAAGATAGATTTAAAATTTAGATTACACATAGTTTCCCTGGTGTGAATAATCTGCAATAATACATAAGATCCTAATAAGATTACTGACATTTAGAAATGGGAAGAAAGGAGCTAAAGGTGTAGGGAAAGTGGGATGGGTAGGTGAAGGGTAATAAGGGAAAAGAAAAAAATGTGAGATAATGAAAAGATGAAAATAAAGTGTTTGTAGAAGGGGAGGGGAGGAGGTGGTGAAGGGCGGGAAGGGGTAAGGGGAAAAAATGAGAATCAAGACTTGTCATGTAGAGGTACAAGATCCCAATAATGAATGTAACTGTACTGTATCCCTAAAATGTACCAATAAACTCAATTAAACCTGAAAAAAAAATTTAGATTACACAGGACCTGATTAAAGAAGGGAGAGAAAATACCAAGTCTTATATTCATCCCAATCCCTCACTGGCTTCCCACAAGTCTCTGTGTAGCAGATGTTCAGATCCAAGGAAGGTGAAATAACCAGAACTTTCACAATTATATTAATTTAAGAATACTATGTAAACAAGGACATTTTTAGAAATCTGATCATCCCTCCAATCAATTTTCCTTGTTTTAACAGGGATTCCCTATGGGGCAGTAATTCATACATCTTGCTGCCAGGGGGCTCTGATTTGAATTCAATCATCTGATGTTGCATAGCAGTGGTGGCGAAACTATGGCACATATGCTGCAACAAGTACACAAAGCCCTCTCTGTCAACACTTGAGCCAAGCCACCCGAGACAAAGTTTGACAAATTATCAACACGCATACAATAGCAAAGATCACATTAACTGTGCAAAAGCACACCAAATGCAAACTCTTACCTTTCAGTAAAAAGCTGTTTATATCACTGAAAGGTCTGTTATTGTGTTTTTCTTTTCAGACAAAAAGATGTTAACATGAGTTGTTTTTTCCTAAAGTAAAACCTCAATATTTGGGTTTAATTGCGGCGTTGGAACTCTGATAAATAAGTAGGTTTTGGGTTGCAGTTTGGGCACTCGGTCTCTAAAAGGTTTCCCATCACTGGTATTAGCTAACCTGTATATGTGCTCTTTTCTTAGATAATTATTGAGCTCAGTGGTAAATTTTTCTCTACTATTTTTTTTTGTTATTCCTTGGTGGTTCTTGTTTTTGTTTGTAAAGTAATATATGTATATTATACCCTATTTGTTTTTCAATTTTAAGAGTACTTAAATTTTGTAAAATGTTTTCCCATTAGATTGTCAAACACAGAAAATGGATAATCTGTTATATGAATTTATAATTCTCATCAGAGAAATTTGTAATCTCATCATCTTTGAAATTTGTAAATTTCATCAGACAAAAAGGACATGACCTGTCTATTACGCTTTAGATGAAGATGTGTTAGAGTTAAATGAATGTAATCTTTGGCCAATACATTCTATGAACATAGTGTGGATTTGGATATGAATGTAGACAATCAAGAGGAGGAATGGCATCCAATAATAGAAACATGACAGAACATGAGCACATGGAACTGCAACATGCACAACTTTTAATAAAAAATATTAATTGCAATGATCCTTTTCTGTTGTATAAATTATTTATACTTTATAATATACTCAAAAGTATAGATGAAGAACCAAACAGACATGTCACACAATGTGGTTTTAGTGCAAAAAGTAAAAAACCAGCAATACTGGGAATCTGTTACAATTAAGCAAGATGAAAATGAAAATGTTTATATGTACATTATTAATTATGGGGATAGTACAAACATTATACTGTACTGGCGTGAAAAAAGTATGTATGTCAAAGGACATATAAAGAATGCCATCATTTTTGGCTGTTTTGAATTGTTTACATTACTCTGACAATATCACATGCACAACCAAGGATCACTTGAATAAATTTGGAAAAATCATGGAAAAATTTATTAGTATATTCAAGAATGCAGTAAAACTTGGAAAAAATGTAGTGATAGAAAAAAGGATGATTTTTATAGTGAGGACATCCATGTTTTTGCCAACTTATCAAAGGAAAAATGGTACAAATACAGGATAAAATTATATGAATTATTTGCCTAATGGGCACACCTATGATTTACACGTCTATTTTTTTTAAAAAATGCAAACTCTTCAATGCATGGGCATTCTTTTGATGTTCTTTTGAAATTAATGTACAGCTTATTATTTGAACATCACAGGAAGTTATTATTCATGTGTATTTTTGCAGCTAAACTGAAATTTTTTACCAGTACAAGCAAAGACAAGGCAAAAATGCAGCAAAATCATAAACTTTCAAAACTGTTCTGGTGTAAAATTTTTAAATGGACTGATAAAATAACTGATTATATGTTAATGACTTTTGTAAAAAATCATACATGCACATTTAGTGAAGAAAAACCAGACAACATAAAATCTGATCTCTTTGATTACAATAATGCAAAGAAAGGTGTTGAGGGCCAGGGATTTAGCCCAGTGGTTCTGCTGCCTGCCTTGCAAGCGCAAGGTCCCGAGTTTGATCCTCAGCATGATTTAGCAGACCAGATACCATCATTTTACAGTTCCTTAAGGAAAACATTAACATGGTATAAAAAAATTGTAGTACAGCTAATATGAGGTACAGCAGTTGTAGATATATATATTGTATACACCAGCAATGGGTTACTCTTAAGATTTCCACATTAAAATTTAGAGAATTATTGATAAACTACTAACCAATGAAGAAATGCTATACACACAAATAACTCAATAAAACATTCACTTTATAGGCACTTATTTCAGAAAGAAATGTATGCAAGCAATGTACAGAATGTTATCAAAAATTATCTGGAAAAATGGGTGCCATTGTGGCCACAAAAAAAGCCAAGTGTATTATAACCTTTTAGGCATTATGCACAAATTGATCGCCCTTATGTATAAAATGTTTTAAAGAAATTCACAAATATAAATACATTTCTTTTAATAAAATAAATTTGATTGTAATAACTTTAATTAGTATGAATAGTATTAATTTATACTATTATTCAACTTTAAGCAATTGTCTAGGTTCAGTTCATTTATAGACTTTTCATTAATTTTTATTAGTAAAAAGCCAAATAAAAATTATTAGAACCATTTGTACTACCCGTACAAGTATACAAGTAAATAGTATACCAGTGTTTCAAGCCCAATGGTACATTCACACATAAGGTTTAAGCCGGTGGGAATGTGTTTCTTAGAAACCCAGAAAGGTTTTGACTTGGAAAACAAATTTAGTTCTAATGGTTATTTTAGGTAGTTCTTTTCCTTCTCCCTAAATTATTTGCATATATCTGGTCCACATCACTTTAGACTCCAAAAGTGGCTCCATCCTCTTCTTGCTGGCATGCCCCACACCTGGAGAAGAGTATTTTCAAGAATTGGCAGAGGAAGCCAGGTTTGGCGGCACATGCCTGTATTCCCAGCACTCATGAGGCTGAGGCAGGAGGGTCGCTACTAGTGTGAGGTCAGCCTGGGCTCCATAGTGAGACCCCCGTCTCAAAAAAACAAACAAAAGAACTGGCAAAGGACTATGATGGCAAGGGACACTGTTTTTACTTGTTTCAAATTTTTTACAATGGACATGTAGCTTTCATTCTCAGAAAAATCAATTAACATATTTTCATTAAAATGTATATGAGTATTTCTAAATAACAAATGGAAAGCAGAAACATGAAATGCTCTCCTTCTCAATCATTCCAAATCGCAGAATTCATTTCCAGAAACAGATGGACTGCCTACCTCGCACCACCCCTCAAAGCTCAATTTACATCAAACTCACAAAGAGAGAAGAAAGTGACAATGGAGGTCTTCTAATTACACAGAAAGGTGGACAGCTGTCCTTTATACCTAGCTGACCCTACTATAGTCAGGTAGGGCTCAACACATTCATATTTCTGTAAGAAATACTCACTTTTGTCCCAGTGATATTTCCACAAACCCTGCAGTGCTCAGAGAACTCTACTCATCATACTGAAGAAAAACCCAGTTTTGTGTTATTATTTTTAAGATATTTCATCAGAATGCAAATTCCTCAAGATTGAGGACTGCTATAGTCTCCATTTTACCTACAGTGTCACATATAGTAAGGTGCAGAATAAAAGAGGTGTTTAACAAATACTTCCTGAATGAACAAAGTCATTTTAAAAGGGAAAATACCCCTGGAACAAAATCTAGGAGTTTCCAACCTGTTGTGGTGACCACCTTCTGGACGAGGACTCCTGCCCGCTGCAAGTAGTTGATTGGGAAGTTCATGGATGGATTTGTGCTGGAGGCAGAACTTACACTGCCCCCAAGGGGGACATGCCGTGGCATCATGGGGATGGGGGTGGACTGTACAGGACGAACACTGGCCACTGGCTTTTCATCGCCCTTCAGTGTTGGCTGCCTGGAAGAGAAGACAAACACCCTTCAGAGAATCGAGTAGAAGCTTCTCCAGATGTGAGAAGCCATCTGCTCCTTTATGTGGGATACATACAACAGGAATTAAATCAGTTCCTGAAAGGGAGTTAGGATGGCCAAGCATGGTGGTGCACACCTGTAATCCCAGCAGTTGGAAGGGTGAGGCAAGAAGATTGCTAGAGTTTGAGGCCATACTGGGCTACATAGAGAATTCAAGGCTAGCCTGGGCTACAGAGTGAGACTCTGTCTCCAAAAAAAAAAAAAAAAAAAAAAAATTAGGATGATACAAAGATGTAAAAATGAAGAAAAGGTTCTTCAGACAAGCACAGTGTTTAGGTGACTTTGAGAGACAATCTATCCCAACTTTAGGTGTACCCCACCACATCCTTCCACAGCACAAAAAAGCCTAGGACAGAAAAGAAAACATTCCTAGTCAACAGCATCTTGGAAAGACACAGAAACAAGTCTGAAGGCTTTGAAAGAGTAACTTTGTATTTGAAAGTATATTCAACTTGCTACATAAAAAAATAACAAATTTAGCCTGGGGCACAACTCAATGAGAGAGCACCTCCCTAGCATATTCCAGGCCCTGGGGTCAATCCCCAGCAGTAAAAAGTACATTTACTTACAATTCAGTCTTGCTGGGGATTTAGCTCAGCGGTTAGGTGGCCTGCCTTGCAAGCGCAAAGACATGAGTTCAATCCCCGGTACCAAAAAAA